TTTCAGATTTTCAAACAGCTTCTCCGAATTTACGAAAATAGAACCCGGTTTCAAATTTAATCAAATGCTCTCCGTAACTCGTGACGAGACTATCAGATCCGAATTTCAATCGAATTTAATGGTAATAATTGATCACTGCCGGTTCAAATTACAAAGCAAGATTGATCAGCAGATGAAGATTGTTTAGCAACTCAAATTATGATCATCGATCGGAAGAAAATTAATTTAATAGTCACGAAGTATTGTTTACGTTTACTGATCAAATATAATTAAATGATTAGATCAAGACATACTCTACGCCACATGAAGGACATATTTTATCTATTCAAATCGAAAACGTACAAAATGAAGACTAATTCGGATGCAATACTCATGTAATTGAAGCGTATTTTAATTCAAAATATGCAATAGTATTCGATACACTACATGTGTATGTATTTAAAAAACAAACATGCCACTTCATGCTCAGAAATCTAACTTCAAACTGACGGATCATTTCAAATCAATTACAAATTTATTAGAAAAATTATACTACAATATTAGGATAGAAGATCATCAATCTAAAAAGCAGCTGAAATAAAAATTGGTAATCCGTGACAGTTTGTTGCATAATTGATCGGAGTTAAATTCCACTGTCCTTCGGAAAAATTATAAACGAATATGCAGGAAAAGAAAATAATTTAAAAATAGTCGAAACTGGACCAATGTGATTGTTTAAATAATTCATTTGTTTATATTGTGTATTACAGTTTCAAAATTATTTTAGTTTCTCTTTTCATTCATTTCCAAACTCTTAATTACATTTTGTTTTTTTATCGTTTCCAAAATTATTCCAAATTGTTTCAAAATTTTTTATTATTTCCTTTCTTCTTTGGCTTTTCTTTTTCGCTAACACTCACACCCTTCCAGGTCTCGAAGGCCAGCTGCAAGTGGGAACATCGGAGAGGACCATGTACCATAAAAAATCAGGATGTTGAAGAAGGATTTAAAAGAACAGAAAGATTGCCATAAGGAGTAACGATCAAGGATAATCTGAAGAAGGAAAACGAAGCAGAATGGATGAGAAGACGAAGAATCCAAATGAACGGATAATTAATAACTTCAAGCAGTTACGAAGAATTTAAAAGAATATCAACGATTGCCAAGACTGAGACATAATAGGAGCATAAGTCAAAGATTTTACGGGATTCGATGATACGACCTTAAAGTAGAAAACAGTAGCTATAAGCAAGATTATTGTTAAAAAAAAGGAAAAAGAAACAAAAAAAACAGCATTAAGTTTAAGCCTGACGGAACTTGAAAATAGAATCAAATCCAGTATAAAGAGATGAAAATTCTAAATTGCAATAGTGAATATTTTTGGATGTACGAAGTGAAGAATGAGAAGACAGCCATAAAATTCTTTTTGGGAGAAGACTTTTGGGACGAAGACTGAAATTTTTAGGAACAGATACCAGGGCATATTTACAATTCGATATCCACATCACAAGAAGATTTCAAAGATGAGAAAAGGGAAGAACTGGGAGACGATCATCAGGAAGCATTTTGAATCTGAAGATTTGGTATAATAAAACATTTACTTCTTCATATTTCGATGAAAGAAAATTTTCAAAAATTTCCGGTTTCCAACTAACAAATCGCGAATTACAAAATTTGACACAGTAAACCAATTTGATAAATAGTTTTCACAATTTGGCATGAAGATTACAACTTCAAAAACTGATGAAACGAGCAAAAATTATGTGTATGTATAAAAGGAGTCTAGTTAAAATTTGTCATTACCTCGATACCTAAATATAATTAAGGATCCTTGTTACCAGTTGATACTGCCAAGTGAGAGTAAAAGAAGCAGGCCAAGAATTAAAACTAATTTGACTAAGTGAAAGTAACTATGAATTAAAAAACAAATCAAAAATGTCTTTTGGAATTATTTTTAAACTCTTCGAATGTCGATTATTTTTATGAGAAATTCTATGGTAAATTCCTAATGAAAAAAGTGATTTCTAAGAAATGTGATATACAAAATTCCGAATTCCAATACAATTTGAAGATCATGAGAGTAAACAGTTGGAGTAGAAAGATTAAGTTTGAAATTTTAAGATCAATGAAATCATTGATCAGTTTTTAACTTGTTCTCGTTTTCGTTTGTTAAATTGTTCGTTACGTTTGCCCGTCGTTCGTTAAGTGATTGTTGATTTTCAAACGAGAAACGTTACACAAACAGCCAGTTTTTATTGTTATAAATTTAAACTCGCGTTTAAGTTGTTGTTGTTAAGTTTGTCGTTCTCTCTTATTTCCGTTAACGTTGACATGCCAGTTGTTAAGTTAATGTTGACACACGCCCAAGCTTGAAAAATTGAAGTTAACGTTGATCCGAGTTATGTTTTTGTTTTAACGTTTGAAAAGTTGTAAAAGACGGGGTATTCCACGTAGAAAGTACGCGAGTTCCATAACTTTCCGCGTGGAATACGTATACCTAAAATTTCACACGGACGTACTGTTTTAGTTTTTTAAATAACTGGTTAAAAGTATCTGTTTTCCATTGTTCATTGTTTTTCAGAAAGCAAAATCTTTCACTGTTGAGTTTATTAAAAATGAAGTTGACGCCTGAGTTAAGAAAATAATTGTTTCCAGTTAGATAAAAACAGGAAGTAAAATCTAACAAAAAAATTGTTTTCCCTTGTTAATTTTTATTTTCATTTGGTTTTCACCACAGTGCCTTCGCCTACATTTTTTAATCGACGACGCTAATTATTTGTTCATGATACAGGTGAATAAGTAAGCCTACAATTGGTATACGAAGACAGTATTTTATAGAACACGATACATGAATGAATTAATGGTCCGTTTAATTCATTTATTTATTTGTACAAAATTGACCCACTTATTTTTAAGCGTTGTTATTGGCCATCGTATAATCATTGTACCGAACAAATGAATGATAAAAGTTAACTGTCATGGTTCATTTGCTCGATTATTAATAAATTGTATAACCCGCGTGTATTCAACAAAATGTACCCATTAGAGCGATCGTATGATTATGAATTCGTGTGCTCATTAATTAATCAGTATAATGATAATTTTTAATAATCTTAAATCTGAAAGAGTGTGTGTGTGTGAATTTCTCTTTTCTTACATTAAATCGAACGATTCAATTTTTCGATCTTGCCACCAACGCTTGTGAACATTAACGAGAGATGAATTGACTGGCGTGTATATTAATATATGTATACCTCCAACGTGCTGTAAACTATTTAATGTATGAGATACACAAATAAAGACATAGAAATATTAATTAAACCATTTCATCGATTCGTCTATTCCTTTCCTGTTTTATAATTTACAATTACAGTCGCGCTGGATAATCGGTCGAACATTAAACGTGTTATTTCATTTTGTAGCGTGTCCACTTAATATCCGGCACGACTTCTTCCTGTTAGACACGAGGTCTTTCGTCGCGTTACATACAAATCGTCTCGTCGGCCTTGAACTTTCTAAGATTTCAAATTTTGTTATTTACCTAGATCCTCCGCTGCCCGAGTTTGAAATTCAAATTCCGTCTACGAACACGTTCCCCACAACACCGCGTGCGTAAAAATTTGTCATGACTAATCGAAGGTGAATTCGGAATAAAAACAGAGGAGAGGAAAATATTGCGTGCTCGAAGAAAAGATCGTGGAAACGAGAAGTGACAATAGTCGCGGAAAAGCGTGGGACTAAAGATAGAAACGATCGGTTCCCGATCGGCACCGTTGATAAAACGAAACCTGGAAAAGAAGGAACAAGGAGGGTAAGCAGAAGCAGAACGATTCGCGATAGGAAGAAAGATATGCGACAAGGACTTGGAAATCGGTCGTGTCGCTGTAGTAAACGTAATTCTTTAAGCGGAAAAATGTGGTAATCGGTGTGATCGCTCGATCGACGTTCCGGACAGGCCAGGTATACGATTTCAGGCTGACAAATACCCGGCGAGCAACATTTGAATAGATGCGTTAAACATTACATTTCATAAGCGTCTCGCAACGTGGTATCTCCCTCGAAAAACGATCGTTATCATTCGTATCGAGCAATCGTATAACATATAAGTAATGCAAAATCTGAACGTGAGAGATGGACACGAAGAACAGCAAAATTTCTCACTTTTATAGATCTAATATTTATCAAATGATTATAAGAATTTTTTTCTAATGGTTTATCTTATTTAAAAAGTGAGAAATGCGATTGATTAAAGAATGACGGGCCCTTCGTGATAGAAATCGTCGAGGATCGTAGTCTACCTTCGAAAGGTATAAAAGCCACTGTCTAAGGATGAAGTGGCTCAGTCGTTCGAAAAACGATCGAGGGTTCGGAATCAGTCCCGAAGGTCCTTCCGTACGTTTTCTCCAATCTTTCCGATCTATCGTGTGCATCTCCGTCAACTATCTACCACAAAGATAGCTAATAGTGAAAAGGATTATGTGGGACGAGTTCGGATTTAAATATTATACAATCTAAAGCTAAGGGGATACGGGGAACACGGTGAAGAACAGATTAAGATTCCAAGCATCACGTGAGTTAAAGAGAAGAAATAACCAAGAGATGAAAAACCCACTGAACTAGAACTGACCGAAGGGGTATCTTACATCGTTGCTCGTAATACCAACTTGGATTGCACGAAAATATCCTTGCTTGCCGAGGATCAAACGAAGAGTTGCGAACGCAAGACCGAGGGATTGAAGATAACGAGGTTTAAAGGACAAGTGCATCGAAACAGGTGTAGAAAAATATTAAAAGAAGAAGGGAGAAGCAAGAGCAACGCGAACGGGAGTGGGAATAGTGAAAGAGGAAGAAAATAAAGAAGAGGGAGAAAGGAAGAAAGGAAGAGGAGAGAACCGTAAAAGAAAGAAACGAGCGAAGTGAAAAGAAAGAGGGAGAGGAATAGAAGCAGAGAAATAGAGAGAGAGAAGGAGGTACAAGGGGGAAAAGAGAAAAAGCAGAGCGTGTGGAAGGAAAGGGTAAAGAGAAAGAGGAAGAGAGAAATAGGAGAGAGAGCAGAGGCGAGGAGAATAAGAGAGGTGGTTCCGAAGGTGTTCCGGAGGGACAAGTAAGACAAGTTTTTAGAGTGCACTCGCTTTTCTTCGTTCGGGGGAAGAGGGTGAATAAGACGGCGATGGACGGATGGTGGAGCCTCGGTGGTGCTCTTTTTCTACTTATTGCTACACTCCTTACTCTCTATTTCTACAAGATCAATTGGATCAAGGTGAGTCTTCTTCTTTGGTACACTTGTTATAAGCATAGCACTTTCCGCCTCTCTATTCCTTATACTTATAAATTAATTAAAAAGCGTATTTTTTATATAATAATATGTCACGCAGCAAAATTAGAAAACTGCCCTCGGACATTGAAATAACTATTACTAATTACGTTAAATTGCACTGATGTTAAATAATGAATCGTTATTGAATATCTAACATTTTTTATTAATTCGATGACGCGCACGAAAGTAGAAAAAGATTCGCTTGTGTTACGTTGCGAGAAACAGAGTTGCAGAAAATTCGATGTAACTTTAGGACTGCATCAGGTTTCCATTAAATTACATGGGATTGAATTTCAATCGAGAACCAACCGGCATTGTCATCGTTACCTAGTGAACGCGATTTATTTCTCGGTATGATTAAGAAGAAAATCGGATATACTAAAAATCGAAGACGAATCACGCGTTAACAGAATAAATCGTTAATTTTATATGCATGTATGTATAACGATATATATATAACAATATACACGTATAACGATATATAATAAATAAAAAATATTTTCACTTTCAATCCCGTTAGCGAATTATATTAGCGCGACGCGAACGAATGCGAGCAGAAGTCGGCGCGATGACATTATCTTTACAAATCTGCTTCAATCCTTTTTCTACGCATCAGCAATTCTTTCCGTTCTTAAGAGGAAATCGTGACGTCCCTCGGCGCAGCAAATATTTAAAAGCTGCACACGGACTTCTTAAAATTAATCATGCTATTTGATAATTTAATTTTGTACGGGTAGTACGCTCTAGAAAAATGTTTTTTTTTTAGGATCTGAGACTAGAAGGCAATGGCAAAAAGGTTTTAGCAAATCATTTGGATTCGAAGAAACGAAAATTGGGCAAACTTCCCCCGGTCTATCCGAACGGATGGTTCGCTCTGTTAGAGAGCTACCAGTTAGGCAAGAAAGAAGTGAAACATGTGGCTGCCCTTGGACAGAATTTTGCCATTTACAGGTAACTCGACAATTATTATTTAAAAAATCAATATAACTTTTAATACTAATCACGTTTAATAATTGGTTTAAAGAACAGATAACGGGACGGTGAGGATTTTAGACGCGTACTGCCCTCACCTGGGCGCGAACATGGCAGAGGGTGGTCGCGTAAAGGGTGACTGTTTAGAATGTCCCTTTCACGGCTGGCAATTTCGCGGATCGGACGGACAGTGTGCTTATATTCCATACGCAGATAAAAGTGATTTAATTTCAAATATCAATAATCATATTGCTATTCCTGCATCAATCATCTCAATGAATGTGTACCATTTTCAGTACCACATATTGCAAAAACTAAAACTTGGAAATGTTGCGAGGCTAACGAGATCATATTCGTTTGGTATCATGCAGAGGGATTGCAACCACATTGGGAACCGCAAACGATCAGCCAAGTTTCAACTCGGGCGTGGCGTTATCGGGGTCGAAACGAATTCCTCATCAACTGCCACATACAGGTAATACAGCAACTTTGATAGATAGTCTTGCTTCTAAGAAACTTCTTCCTTTCGGTATTTTATATAATGATAATAGTTACTTAAATCGATCATGTAAACTAAAATCAAGGAAACCAATTTACCATTGATAATAATTCACGGTCGACAGCGATCCGTTAGTCTTCTCTCTCTCTCTTTTTCCTTTTTCTAGATATGTGTTAAATAAACGTGGTGGATAATTGAAATAAGAAATGGATTTTGGACTCCTTGATTGCAGCCCCCATGACGAACGCTAAGAACGATGATCATTGTTTTGGGTTTGAACACGTAATGAATCCATAATAGGCCGAGCGCCCAAACGGGAGGCTTGAAGCCAGAACAAAGAACGTCGAAATTTAACCGATAAATGTTAGAAGTCACGTGACTACCCTAGCTCTTTAAGAAAATCAATTTCCGCGACTACTACCTCAACGTTTTCAGGAAGTCGCGGAGAACGGCGCGGACTTGGCGCATTTGAGCGCAGTACATGGACCACCGATATTTTCAAGCAAAGTCACGAACTATCTCTCGTCTTTCGCCCGACACTCGTGGTCGAACGTTAATTGGACACCACATAATTCCTACTTGGAGTTCCAAGAATCCGAGGACACCGGATCAAAGAAACCGGATGGCGAGAATCTAAGGCACAGAGCGTACATGACTCTAAGGCATCGGCTGATACTCTTCGAGAAATTTAAAGTTATGCACCTGGACGTGGACGTCCAACAAGTAGGCCCGGGATACGTAGAACTAATGATGCACACTCCTTTGGGGTCCATGTGCATATTTCAGACGGTCACACCCATGGAACCCCTTTTACAAAAGGTTCTGATCTTATTTAAATTACTATAATTACACCGTGGACGTGATAATACGTCCGCAGTCCAGTTACGATCAATGCTTCTCGAAGCCTTTTCTATTATAATATTTATTACATAGGTGACTCATGTAATGTATTCTCCACGATATCTCGCCCCATACGCAAGTATGTTATTCCTCGGGGAGTGTTTAATGTTCGAAAGGGACGTAGCTATTTGGAATCGAAAGAAGTTTGAGAAGCAACCGCTTCTCGTTAAAGAAGACAAAAGCATACTCGCTTACCGCAGGTGGTACGCTCAATTCTATTCGCAGCACAGTCTGAGTTATCATTCTGCCATGAGATCGTTACAATGGTAACTGATAACCACTTAACGAGAAATTCGATAAGATTGTATATCAATAGTTATAATTGTAGCAATAAAAATTATAAAAAATACTGGCTACTCCGAATAAGTATATTTTAACGTAACGATGATACACATATGTACTGATTTTACTTGTATCATGTTATATGTATAAGAATCTTTTAACAATAAGTACAAAGTTATATTAAATGTTCTTTCGTGAAACTGGATCTACGAAATTTGTTTTTCCCTCCATAGTTTTCTGCTTAGTATAGGAAACAGCAGAGCGACGCTTAAGAATTCTTTATAACACGTGAGAGATCAAAGAAACCACGTACACTTTCCAATAGGAATCGCTTGGGCTACTAAAGATAGGCATAGCCATATGATAGAAACGTGTCGGTGTCAATTGATTCAACTGGTTAAACGGTTCTGTTCAACGCCTAAAAAGCAGTCGCGATTCTCAAGCGTCGAACGCTGTTGACAAGAGCTCTTTTCATACAAAGGAGAATCATGAGTCCTGAATTAGGCCTGGAAGATGTGAGTAATTTGAATTTCTCGCGGGATCTCCTTTTAGTTGATTATAGTTGCTACTTGGCCTTGTGCTATTTACACATTTTGGCGGGTCCTATATTGAACCATAACCTTTATCTCATTGCCTTTTTTTTTACATGACCTTTGCCTTATATTAATTGTTATCTGTCATCGTCGAGGAATAATAACGAACGTATTCTAATAAAAATTCATAGGCGGTGATATATTGTTAAGAAATAAAAAGAACGGTCGTGGGTGAAAGGGTCGAACTCGATTTATTTCTTTATGATATCTTACGCTCTGCGAAAAGATATGCCTCATCAATAAAAAAAGAATAAGTATTTCAAAAACAAAAAGCAGTCATGAAAGTGTCTGTCAAAAATGACACGGAAGAACGTCTTGCTAAATGAAAATGTATAACGGGATTAAAAAAGTACGACCTAGTTCATGGGATTTTAAATTGTGACTATCGTTTAGAAAAGAAAACGCGTAATTAATAATNAATTTGTAAATAAATTTAAATAATAAATAAAAAGTGATACCAATTAAATATAATCGATCTTTTTCTTTCCGTAACATTAATCACTAAAAAGCATTTTATTTGTGAGAGACTAGAAAATAATATTAAATTGATAAAGAGAAGCTGAAAATTTTATATTTGCATTCAGTAAATATGTCACTGATTAGTAAATGAGTACAAGAAAAAAGAAAAGAATTACGGTTGATTGTCAAAACTAATTGACTGAGAAAGTAACTTAATAACAATTAATAAACAGTAATCGAACCAGAAACACATGATCATTTATAAAAACCTATCAGATATAATACATTAGACAAACTTTAAGCAATATGTTCATTGTATGCCGTTCTAGACTTTCAGTGATTAATATTGTAACATATGGTGCATGTAGAATTTTTTCAAGTCTCACCTGATGAGACTTACAATATACACGTTTATTGGAAATTGATATAACTTTTGTGAAATGTATAATAATCTAATCTTCTCGCAAGATTATCTTGTACTATGATAAAAATAATATTATTTCTAATGAATTCTATGTGTAACATTATTGTAGAAAATAGTAAATTTCTTACAATGAGCGATATGACATAGAAAACATTATGATTATGTTTTACAGCTATCCAGATTGCAATTTATAATTGTTTTCTTTTTCAATGCAGTTCCCAACGCTCAAATTAAAACATGCTCATATTAGAGATAAAAAACAGTTACTAAGGACCATAAACACTATTTTGTCAGATGGTTGCAACTCTTTGCAGGTAGAGATTGCTTAAAATTGTTTCTGAATGTCGTTTTCCATTTCAGAGAGCTCTTGTTAAATTAAAAAATTTGATTTTCAGGTTGTCACTGATTTCGATTTAACGTTAACTAAACAACATGTGAATGGAAAGAATGTTCTCAGCAGTTTCGGTATGTAAATGAATATTATAATTTTTAAAAATATATACAGAACGTAATTTGAACTAATGTTTTTATTTTGAAACGACAGGAATCTTTAGCAAGTGTAAGCAATTACCAGAATCGTATGCAAAGGAGTCAGGTCGTCTATATAAAAAATATAGGCCAATTGAAATCGATCATACTTTATCGATCGAAGAAAAAATAAAAGCAATGACAGAATGGATGATTGCTACGGAGGCTATATTAAAAGGGGTACCGTTCGATCCTAAAGAGATACCAGAAGTAAGCGAGATGTATGGAGCAAATTTAAGAGAGGGTACTAAAGAACTTTTTAAAAAATTATACCATGCTAAAGTCCCAGTACTGGTTTTTAGTGCTGGATTAGGTGATGTTGTTGAAAGTATATTAAGAAATCAGGGAGTTCTATTTGATAATGTAAAGGTAATAACTATCTAAGTACAATTTTTCATCTTTTAGATTTGTAGTATTAGCAATACTAATAAGAAATACTTTAATCTCCAGATAATCTCAAATTTTCTCAAATATAAAGATGGAAAACTGGAAGGTTTTCAAAACGAGAGATTGATTCACGTATTCAACAAAAATGAATACGCACTAGAGCAAGACTATTTTAAAGTCCTTGAAAGGAGAAAAAATGTTCTCTTAATGGGTGATACCACAGGAGATGCGTCTATGGTAGATGGCATGGTGAATGCAAATGCAGTACTAAAGATTGGTTTTCTTTATGACAATGTAAGTATTATTGCATTACATAATATTACTTGCAACATTTAAAGTGGATATTTTACGGTTTCTTTCAGGTTGAAGATAGTCTTTCTTCATACATGGAAAATTTTGACATAGTCTTAGTTGATGATCAAACAATGCAAGTTCCAACTGACATATTACATAGAATATTGTAAAATATACTGTAAGATAATGGAATTTTGTAATCTGAGTTATTTATGAAGTGTTTTTTTTACTTGAAGGTTTGACTAATACAATGTAACAATAGTTTATTTAATAAAAAACAATGAATTCTTATATCTGATGCAATTTATATCAGCTATGTTACGAAAAAATAGTACATTATTATGATGATCAGCTTTTACAAAATATACCGCTTCCTTAAAATTCCCTACGTAACTTTCTTAATGTTTTATTAGATTTAGTAATAATCTAGTTGAGAACCGTTGGCCAGATCAACACTAAATTGCGATATCTAACCACAAAGTACTCGTATATTCTTTATAGGCTGATAACTTTTATCGTTTAAAGAGTTCCCTGTCGTAAGTTAAATCTGAATTTTCTTGTACTAATGTATATAATGCGTCCTAACACATATTCACCACAAATAAATTCCATTCAATCTCACGAATTATCACTATTTTATGTTAAACTGCTTATTGTAAGATAATAAGAAAAGCTAATTCGATTAATCGATTCTGCCTGAATAAACTATGAATCGATTCTTCTAATATGTAAATCAATTTTTGTAACTCTATTAACACGGAATCACGTTTATGGCGAATCAATTTAAATTTACGCTGTTTATAGGCATTTCTAGTTGTTCGAGAGAAAATTCGATGCTGCAACCAGAAATCTCTTGTTAAAACAATACCTATTTTGATTAAAATCGCACTCGAGAGTTAATAATAATCTCGAAAATTAAATGAATAGTATCGCGGAAGCTTGTAATCAATTAAAAAAGGAATATGATGGTTGTTTCAAAACGTGGTTTTCCGAAAAATTTCTTAAAGGAGATTTTGACGAAACGATGTGCTCGGATCACTTCAAACTATACAATCAGTGCCTTCAGGTAACCAAATTTTTTATAATTTTTGTCCATTCATCCTTCCATTAATTAAACATGTAATTAAAATTTACGTAAAAGCTAATATCGCCCGTAGAAGGAATACCATTTTATATTTTCTATCGAACTTATCTTACAAAGTTGCAAACACCGATAAAATGTGTACTTTATTGCAGTTTGTAAAAAATTAAAAATTGATTTTAATGTCGCGAAGTGTATATTATTTTATTCCTTTAACTATGTATGATTTATTCGAAGTTAAATATCATAGAAGTTTATAAAAGGAAGTAGTTGCTAACAGTAGTGATAAAACAATTCTAAGGCTTGGAGCACGTCACGTAGGTTACACGAATAATGTATCCCGGAGTTCTTGAGAAAAATTCTTGCGACTGATCAAAAACAATCCATAATGCCGGTTTAATTAACTGATGCCCGAATCAATAAATGCATCTGCGGACGATAGTATAAAAGTAAAATCATTCTGATCGAAATAAATGTACCGATAAATTATGGAAGCTTGTAAAGATTTGAAAGCAAAGTATGATCGGTGTTTCAACGAATGGTTCTCGGAAAAGTTTTTGCACGGCATTTACGATGATAGCGAATGTGCAGATTTACTTAAACTTTATACCAAATGTGTAGCGGTAAGTTAAATTTATTAGAAGAAATTCTATTCCAAATTTCTAACCTGATGCTGCTGGTTTACCGGGTATTGAAAAACGAAATATATATTTGAAACGCGAATAATGTACGAAGAGCATAAATCATGTTTTTCGATCATCAACATTACTGATCATTTTCATAGCAAAATAATGACAGTGATCCATAAAAAAAAATTAAACAAGTGGTCAATCTTTTATACTGATTACATGTACACTGATGCAAGACATGTGTGGTTTCATATCATTGCTCAGTTTATTGACTTATTTTTTTATGGTGATGTTTCAGCAAGCGATGAAAGATCAAAATATAAATCTGGATGAGGTGAATATAGCTCACCTGGGTACAGAGCATGAGAAAAAAAACTGAGAATTGACAACTACTCTTCTAATAGAACATTATTTCCATTTTTTGTTATAAAAATGTGCTGTATATATTTAAATAAATATTAATTATCGTGCAACTTATAATGACAATTCTGTCTTTCAGAAAAATTGCGATCATAAACATTTCTTAAATGAACCTTTATTTTCCTATACAAAAATTCTTAAAAATGACACCGAGTATTTCCTCGGTACTAATAGTACCTGTTATCTTACCTAGTTCCCTAGCTGCACCTCTGATATCTTGTAAAGATATAGCCATGTCATAGTCTGGTATTTCAGTTTTCTTTAAATATTCTTCAAGATACTTTACAACATGCAATAAATGATTTCTATATCTTGCATGACTGATTACAGGATTTTCTTCTTTGGGATCACCACACCTGGAATTTCCGACATTAGATTAGCATTCTGAAATGTTCGTAAAAATGAATTACTCACATTTCTTCAAAACACTGTCCTAATGCATTTATAAGATTCTTCAACCCCTCTTCTGTCTTGCAAGAAATAGGAATAATGTTCCGTTTTTTCCACTTCTTCTTATCTTCCTCTTCAAGCAAATCTACTTTATTCAGTACGAAAAGAACTCTTTCTTTATCTATTTCCAATGAACTCTTATATTGTTCCAAGTATTCTTCTAAAGAATTCTGGATATTACATTCAGCACTAATTACGCACACGACGAAATCCGCTTTCTTGCAATACTCCTTCGCTTTTCTAATCCCTTCTATTTCGATTTCGTTTTCTGGATTGTCTCTGATACCCGCAGTATCTGCGAGAATCATTGGATATCCACAGATGTTTATTGTTAACTCTATTACATCTCTTGTTGTCCCTGGGGAAGATGTGACAATAGCCGCATCTTTCCTAGAGAGAAGATTTAGGAGGCTGCTTTTCCCTACATTAGGTTCGCCAAGGATCGTTACATGAATCCCGCTACGTAAAATTTCTCCTTTCCTTCCATCGGAGAGATGTTGTTCAATTTCTTTAGACAACTTTTGTACAGTAGTTTTGGCATCTTCTAAGACCGTAGACTCTACACTATGCTCCTCAGCAAAATCAATATAGGCCTCTAAACTGGCAAGAACGTTTAGTAAAGTAACACGCCAAGAGTCGTACAGACGTCGAAGAGATCCACTGGCTTGATTAGAGGCCTTTAAAGACAAATTGACTGATAGGAAACTATATGTGTTCGCAGAGATAATATAAGACACGTTTCCTCTATACCTGCCTGCGCTGTTTTTCAGTTTCTGCTTCGATTAGGTCTCCTATACCTTCTGCTTCTGTTAAATCTAATTTTCCATTCAGAAAAGCTCTTCTTGTGAATTCCCCAGGTGGGGCCACTTGAAATCGTAATTTTGAAAGAGCATTTAGGACTGACGTGATCACTGCAGGACCACCATGAATATGAAATTCTACAGAATCTTCCCCAGTAAACGAATTAGGTCCTAAAATATATTGTTTGACAAATACAAAGTTATTTAGCTATTCCCGTTTTTAAATTAAGATGTACCTGGAAACCAAAGACATAGACCTCTATCCAGAACTTCTTTGGTCTCTGGATCATGAATTTTTCTCAAGAGAGCTATTCTAGGTTTCAGATTAGATATCTTAGTCATCTTTTCCAAAGCTAACGATGCACTTGGACCTGATATTCGAATTACTGCTACCCCACATTTACCATACCCTATTTAAACGAATTATTGTACTATAAACAAATCTGTATTTTGTTGAAATACTAAATATTTCGATTGTTTAAACTCAGGATCGCTACACGCATGCGTAGTTAAAATTGGCGGAACGTAATAAAAGTATCAGTACGAAAGCTCTAGTTATGCTTCGAGTTTCGAAGCGAAGATTTTCATGTTTCGTTCGTGACATTTTGCAAGAGTAAAAGTGTAACGAGGAAATTTAGAGAATATAATAACCAGAAGACAGCGCGTAGATCGTGGAGGATCTCTTGTGGTCGCTGAAGAGTGTTTTCAGTGAAATCAGTGGAACGAAAAATGTGTTCCTTGTTCCCTCTGAAGTAGGAGTTAACTTGCGTATCTTTCCACTTAAAAGTATTCTCAACATTTTATAGCTCTATAGAGACATTAGAGTAATACTTATTGTTGAACTCTGAGTTCTTATTGTCGCACTTATTTCACGTTTAGTTTAGAATCAGGTTAGGTATGTTAAGTGCAAGTACTCGACGTACTCGACACGAACATTGACCAGAGAGAGGTGTACGGTAGACTTCATTGATGGAGTTAACGATTTTATAGAAATAAGTTTGAAACGAAGTTTTTTTGATAGCAATACATGAATAGATACACCTTATGAATAAAATTTGATTCCTTTTTTTTTATAAATATAAAGATAAAGTATGTAAAATGTCCGAAGCTTCGGTAAAGTTGATGCCTAGTAAAGAGGTGAAAGAACATTGCATCGGTTGGGTAGAGTTGCAAAACGATTCTTCGTCTGCAGACGATAAGAAAAAAGACACGGTCGACGATGACGACAACGATGAAAGTTTTTATACTGATTCTGAATTTGATTCCGTGTCAGAATGCGGTACAAAGAGAAGAAGAGTCGGTTTACCGCTGAAACGTCAGGTTTATCGTTTGTATTGCGGATGGACGGCCTGCGAGTACGAAACCAATCATGTCGAGAGATACGCGAGACACGTAGGCAAGCACGTGGCCGATGTATGTGTGCGACCCAATGAGGATGATGTCGAAACTTACGTATGTCAATGGAATGGTTGTACGTATGAAAGTAGTAATCCGGATGAGGTTTCTAGACACGTCAATTATCATTCGTTCCATACGAAATTGAAATGTATCGGATCAAATATTCGCGCGCGGATCAAATTACCCGTAAGAAAATGTTCATTACATTGTTGTCTGATTAAACAATTTTTAAAATCGTTATATGGTGTTTACATGAAAATATTATTTTTATTTCAGAAATGCCGACGTAATCCTGAATGGAAAAATGTCTTTGACCTACCAGCACCCCTCTTTTGTAGGTGGGAGGAATGTTTAAATGATTTTCGAAATTATCAGCTCTACATATATCATGTGGGTGCTCACTTAGAGGAGAACCCAAGGGGCAGAAAAATTGAAGGTGGCATAGAATGTAAATGGACAGACTGTGGGAAATTATTTCCAAGTCTATATAAGTTAAGGGATCATGTGAGATGTCATACGAAGGAAAAGATTGTTGCCTGCCCCGATTGTGGTGCTACTTTCTGTTCCAATACAAAATTTCATATACATTGCAAAAGGCAAATGCCAATCGACGGTAAAATTTAATTTATGCCAATGAAGTTCAGTCGTCAATAAGAAAAGAATTATTTTTCTAATTATTCTGTTTCATTATCGTTAGTTCAAGGATTCCGATGTTCCCATTGCAATAAATATTATCCTACCGAAGGAATTCTGAAAGAACATATGCGGTTACATATTTTTAATTACAAATGCACTCTATGCGATATGAGTTGCTCTACACCGACCGGTTTGGCTAAACATGTCAGGTACAGACATGTTTCTACCAGAACTTTTCCCTGTCAATTTTGCAGTCATGCTGCCAAAACCCAGCAGGATTTAGATTCGCACATGAGTGTACACACAGACGGACCGAATTTTTCATGTACTGTCGATGGTTGTCAGTATAAATGCAAACACGCTTATACTTTGGACAGGTACGTGGATTAAACATTTTCTTGCGTATTCTTTTTATCCGTATTAACTTTTAAACGTGCACATTTTTTATAATAAAAACCTTGTATTTCCAGGCATATCGAACGAGTTCACGTTATGCAAATACGATGGTACTGCTGCCACGAATGCCCGATGAAATATAGGAAAAGCTATATACTGACGAAACATTTGATTAAAGCACATCAATTGCAATTACCTAGTGGTCATAAGAGATTTCAATATACCCAGGCTGATAACAATTGTTATAGATTGCAAACGGTTAGATACGAAGCTGTTGACGAATCGAACATTCCTTCTATTAATCACTCGAAACAACAGGAAAATAGAAAGTTTAAAATTAAGCTAAATAACAATTCTAGCATACCTCGAGTGGAGGTAATATTTTTGTTTAGAACAAACTAACGAATATTTGTGGAAAATTAGTGAAATGTATCATTTATTTATTAGATTGTCGAAGATGTAAACTCAAGTGGAGATGAGAGCAACGAGGCCCAGGAAAAACCAGAGGAGAAAAATGAGGGAGAATCTGTTCCTGTGATTTCGAATATTTTGATAACGATTGATGAAACTGATGCCGAAGGAAATATAATAAGAAGTAGGGTTGTAGAGGCCCAGGAAACTAAGGAATTACCGCCTTCCGAAGAACCACCAATAATACTGACATAATTATCTAATAATTTATTGATAATACTTTCTAATAAAACGTAGTAAAACGTAAAGCTTATATTTTTTCCTCACTATTTTGTTTTTATATTATTTCATCAATGAACAATCAGAAAATTAAATAAAGTACTAGTCTATTACGAGTATGATGTACGTCATATATTAATAAATAATATATTTTTTGGACTACCTTTTACTGCGAGGGCAATCGTATATCGAAACATGCTTCATCTTCAATATCCAAAGAGTCAGGCGTGTCTGTTGGGCTGATCAGTTCTCCATCGAAGTATAATTTAATTTTCAATTCTTCAACTTCTAATTCTTGGGAACATTTTTCTAACAAACTTTTGAAAGTTTCATCACGTTTTACACGAATATTTAATTTTTTCTTGGCTCCTGTTTGTATTTTTATTACACAAGTATCTTCATCTATATCCTCCTCAGCACCGTTCTGAGAATCTGTACCAGTTTTTTTAACAATGCCTCCTTCTACGGAAATATTACTTGTGTTTATTTGAAACAAAAAGCTATAGAATTCTGTTTTATAAAAAATAAATTATTCATGATCAATTTACCGAGTATATCTATGATAGACAAACCGATGGACGCAGGAGTATCGTTCTTCTTAATAGTTTTACTCTTGTTCGTTATTATTATATCGTCTGCTGGTACTCGTTCTATCGTTGCAAAATGTTCGAAAATTTTGCGGCATTCTTCATTCTATAATAATACGATTAACTAATTTTTAAGAATGTGGTTCATTTTTATATTAGACATTATATACTTGAGAATACATACTCTACAGATACTTATGTAATGGACGTATTTCGATCGCCAAAGAACTTTAATACTCATTTCATAATTTTCATCTTCATTAAAACTTTTGTTCATACTGTTTTCACGTGTTAAACTACAATCCAGTTGAGGGTCTTCTGCAGAAACGATCTCTACATCTGAATCTAATTCTTGTGAATTATTTCTCTAAAAAAGAAGAATAAAAATAAATAACAGCTACTCTGTATATACTCTTAACATTCAGAAATTAATTTACCCATATTTTTTTTCGGCTTCTTAGTGCATATGTTCTCATTGCTACTCCAGTGCTGTAAGTGGAAGCTTGTGTAAATTAACTTTTCCTCAGGTTGTCAATTTTATTTTACAAGTTTTAAACTTACATCAACTCTGCAATGTCTTGTTGATCCTTCTGTGTTTCTATTAATTCTATTGTTTCTATTGTTTCTGTAGGGGCTCTTTCTATTGTTTCCTTTATTTCTTTATCTCCTATATTATTATTAGTTTGCGGTAATAATCGTTCCTGTCTCAAGGCTACAAATGAAACTCTCATATTTTTACGTTCACTTTGTATATTGAGAAATTTAGAAGAATTACTGAAAGACTATGAAACAAGTACAATTGTACACATACCTTTCAACCTCGCAACAGGATTTGGATAAATACGATCTTCATCCTCAGAGGAAGAGCTTTCAATGGTAATTGATGTCATTATTTGATTAAGTATTGTTTGTAACAATAACTAGTTATAATATGAAAACGACAGTTGATGCTATGAGATCAAGGTTAGACTCAACGTCTAACTAAAGTTCTTAGATATTTGTTCATAGACAATTTGTATATAACATTAAGTAGATAACAAGTTGTAAAAAATACTGCGACTGTTTAAATATTTGAATACATAAAAAATAGACTAAGATGAATAAATTTTCTCATCTCTTCACATATTTTCATGCATGTCGAATCATATGCGCGCACTTCGATGTTTTGAATCGTGACTATCGTGAGCAATCGTAAACGATCGTAAGCGAGTATCCTGACATCTCCAGAGAGCAGTACGGATTAATTTTTAACTTTGCGCTTGTTTATATGCAATTGCAAATATACATATAATGGTGAATGTTTCTTCTTGTTATAAAATTTCTTGATACAATCTGACTTTAGCGCAATATTTATCTTTCAAGTGCGACTATCGAGTGTCGTTTGACTATGACCGCTCAGAAAAAAAGCGCATCATCATCTCTATTAAAAGCATTTCAATTAGTCATTAGTAAATGACCAATAATGAATTTTAATTCCTACAATTGAAGGCATTTAGATCATGAAATAAGGAAGAATTGATGAAGCTTTCACGGCCTGGCATTATACAATTTTCTCACTTGAGGCTTTTAGGTGTAAAACCGTTTCCAAGAAAAATTATTATTCCAACGTTTCGGCAGCATTGCATTCAATTTAATTTTATTGAAGGTCATAAGATGTGCTGGATACAGTACATCATAATGAATCAGTGAAAATTGTGAGAAAGAGAGCATCATCCCTTCGGAATAATCGTCGGTTTCGTTCTCTTTCGCTCTTTCTCTCTTAAAGGCTTCCGCGACGATTGGCGCATAACCTGTGACGCAAGTCAACGACGGTTCCATCCGCGGTCCCGCATCGAGTCCTCTTTTATCTTTTGTGATCCCCGGTGAAAACGGTATCTTTCGACGGATATCATGCCAGTTACACTGCCTGTTTGGAATTGAGGCTCTAACATCATCATTTATCACACCTTTCGATGATAAGAATTGACTTCTGTCAACGGGATACTGCGAGCACTGCGAGCGATCAGCACACTCCACTTTCAATCGGTGAGTATGTCTTCTGCAGAATTTCCGGTGAACTGTCATTCCAAAATTCTGTCGTATTACCCAAGGAACAACTCGTTATTTGCCGATACGTGTGCTCTCGTTCGACAGTTCTCTCGTTTTCTGATTGTTTGACTTGTGACCGCTGATCAATACGCTGCCGTCAGCGTGTTCGGAAATGAAAACCTCCTACGATACGCGATTCGAAATTTTCCCTTTTACTGAAAACCCGTTTCCTACGCAATGCAATTGGCTGGACAGAATAGCGAACTAGGATAGCAATTAGTTAGTTTTTTCACTGAAACCTAACCATAATAATACCGCAAAGTCTTACAATTATCTGATTTGATTATGCCTCTCCAACCTACTCTTACTGATCACTCATATTTTCATCGTATCGTTATTCATCAATCACTTCACCGTTTTTCTCTTATTTACTTCCGCATACTTTACATTTGACAACCGAATTATCATTGTATATGACATGCGATGTATGTATTTCTACTTAGTCTTCTATTATTCATTCGTTTGTAATTAATCTGTAAGCTTTAAGACTTAATTTGTATTCTTACTCTACCTTTGCTTTAGATTCTTTAATTAACTCATATTTAAAATAAAATACAATCATTTAGAGCGAAATATGAAATATTATACGAAAATATTTCTCAGATACAGATTAGATTTTAATAGTATTGGATTGAATTCATCGTTAGAAGAATGTGTAAATATCTATGTATCATGCGATCATATGCACTCATAAGCTCGTTACATAACATTTCCGTATTTTTGTTTCATTATATTAACAAGGACCGCGATTACATGCAGATAAAATAGTAAGAAATAGAATTGTAATGAACGTCAAGGTCTTCTTTTGTTATTTTAAAGACATGTGTCTGAAATCGAATATCGAGTAATAAATATTTGTATACAACTACCCAAATCGAGTCACGAAGGAGTACGGAAATTTAATTTTCCTCGGAATTGTCAGGGTGTGAAATATCATACTACTATCATTTCAGCTAATAGAAGTTTGCCAAACATATGTAGGCCACACGTGACAAGTAGAAATTATTACAGACATTATGTATATGTATGTTAATGACGTACATTCCATGTTTATTTTACTATTTTTCTAACGGAACAAACTTTAGTGTCAGTCGCATAATATTTTTTCCGATCCCACTGTCGTCTAAATTAATTTTTTATAATTACTTTTCGTATGCATCTGTACTTCGTACGTGTGCAAGAAAGCGTTCATTCAAGAGAGATTGATCGACACTCCCATCGAAACCTCTTGAATCGTAAGGTATCGAAAATCGCTGAGAACGTTGGGAAACTCTAAGACAGTCACTTACAAATTTGCTAACTAATCGTTTTCCAATTGTAGAGAGAATTAAAGAAGTAAGCTATAAAAACTGCATTTCCTTATAAGTCACTAAGTTTTCATCATTGATCTATTCATTAAAAATCTCCCACCATTCTATGTATATTGCACAAACGTAATTTCAAGTACATGCAAATGAAATCGTCACATGAACTTGTGAGATCATTACAAAATATTGACCTGTATAGATTAGTTAGCAATTGAAGTGACGGTCGCAATATTTGTTGGAAGTTTTAGAGCTCTCATAAGAAATCGATGATGTGTCCAGGTCACGTTTTAAGACGAGGAAATGGTAGCTAAAAGCTGTTCGTGATGTTGCCAGAATAAAAGAGGCCATTTATACATATATGCATAGCTTTGTGATCATATGACTGTCTGATTGCATGCAAACGCATCTGTATCGTACATTAATTATAAAAAATTTTTCGTAATCGTATTTGGAATAGAACAAAAAAATAATTCAATGATCAATATCTTTTCAATGTTTGTACAACGCTGCTGATTATTTAATTCTGTGATAAGATGTATATATTTATAACGTTTCGAATAAAAATCTTCGATATTCGTTTATATTCCTATCGTTAATTTTGTATTAAAAAATAGTAATTTCGTAACAGGGAGGAATTTCTAAATTAGTTTCAATGGAAAAGCACACCGTGCAAAAACCTTCAGAACAATTTAAGTAAGTGATCGTTTAAGCAAGTTAGAATTAATGTTACTGACTTTATCGAAAATAAAATTGTAGACTTCTTCCAAAAGTCATAAATGGTGGGATCGCGGGTATTATCGGTGTCTCTGTGGTATTCCCACTGGACCTGGTTAAAACACGATTACAGAATCAAGTTATAGGACCCGGCGGTGAACGAATGTATACGTCTATGTAAGCAAATATTAAACTACGACAAAGCAATCTCCTCCACAGACATCGAATTTAAATGACATGGCAAATACGTTCCAGGCTTGATTGCTTCAGGAAGACTTACAGGGCTGAGGGGTATTTTGGCATGTACAAAGGGTCTGCTGTGAACATTCTTTTAATCACGCCGGAGAAAGCAATTAAACTCACTGCCAATGATACTTTCCGTCACTACTTATCCACCGGGCCTGGGTATGTTCTTCTTTCAATCATATTGAAAACGTAATAGTAGTCATATCGATCAGAATCATTATTGTAAAATATGAAAGTTGATCGATGCCTACGTAGTTCGTACTGTTACTGATACTTAGAATTGATACTTTGATACCATTACCAATATTGATTTCATTATCAAATGATTGGTATGGTATTGTTACGTATAGATTCAACATCCGCAGTTGCTGAGATGTAACGATTTTTTGCACAGGCAGAGACTGCCAATACAACGTGAGATGCTCGCCGGTGGCTTAGCTGGAGCATGTCAAATCGTCGTCACGACTCCGATGGAGTTGTTAAAAATCCAAATGCAAGACGCTGGACGCGTAGCCACGGCGGCGAAAGAAGGTAAATGAATCTTTTGCTGGCCCAATGCTTTCCAATAACTTTTAAGAAAATTTTTTTTCTTCAAAATTTCGAAAAATGCTTGAAATAAAAGTTGTTTTCCTTCTAAGTTCGATATTTAACGAGTTACGTATGATTATATGGCATTTTATTGATGTTGACAAAATCCGACCATCCCAGCGTCGAAATGGCGAACTTTTGGAAAAAAATTTCGTTTTTCCTCAATAACTCCTAAACCGTTGGTCCTACGGGAAAATTGCATACGACCTTTCTTGTAGAGGACGACGAGATCTACAATTTCTGTATAAAAGTTTCTCACTAGCGTTAATAGTTTACGAGTTATTGACGAAAAACGAAAAAACAGTTTTTTGCAAATTACTCGTTAACTATTGACGCTAGTGAAAAATTTTTACATGGAAATTGTAGATCTCGTCGTCCTCTACAAGAAAGGTCCTATGCATTTTTCCCGTATCTCCAACGGTTTAGGAGTTATTGGCCAAAAACGAAAATTTGGAAGAAATTGAAGGGGTACCCCTTGGAAAAATCTCGGAAAAATAAAAAATTTTTTTGTTGTTGTTTATAATTAGCAATGTTCTTCCGACGTCTGATTTCTTTTTAAAAAATGCGTTTCTAAAGTGCATAAACTTTTGGGATTGATTGTATAGCCAATACATCCTTAACAGAGCTTTAATCGCTTTTATCGGTTGTGCTGACATATTTGCCATACGGGATGCAATTTTTATGTTAGACATTTTTATTGACAATGAAACAGGCTCGAATAAGGAAAGGAAGGGCTACGAAATGTTCTTAATATCCATTAAATGTTGTACTATAAGAAATGTAATTGACATCAAATGTGAACCCTGCCTCTACCCTTCAAGTATCAGAGTCCCAAACGACATAAGTCGGTTATGCTCGGTGGTAACCGATTGACATTTTGTGAAATAAAAGTGATTTGTTTACAGCTGGCAAAACGGTGCCAAAAGTGTCGGCCTGGTCATTAACGACAGATTTACTGCGAAAAAGAGGTATTCTGGGACTTTATCAAGGCACGGGTGCAACCGCGCTTAGAGACGTTACATTTTCTGTTATTTACTTCCCACTCTTTGCTAGACTGAACGATATGGGTCCGAAAAGAGAGGATGGATCTTGTACGTTTCCTGACACATCTGACTATGGTTTACAATTAACAACCTGCAGCTAACGCATAAATTATTACTTTTATTTTTCAGCCGTTTTTTGGTGTTCATTCTTGGCTGGTTGCGTCGCTGGTTCTACAGCTGCATTATCAGTGAATCCATTCGATGTAATTAAAACTAGATTGCAAGTTATCAAAAAGGCACCCGGCGAGCCGACGTACAACGGTGTATTTGATTGCATAACGTGAGTAGAAATAGGCTTATAAAATTACGATATTGCTTTTTCATTTAATCATATTTCTGACGCATGCCTTCGCAGTAAAACGATGAAGAACGAGGGTCCGACGGCGTTCTTCAAGGGCGGTGCATGCAGAATGATCGTGATAGCGCCCTTATTCGGGATTGCACAAACCGTTTACTACCTCGGCGTTGCAGAATGGCTGTTGGGTCTCAAATAAATTTCCACCCTCACCTCTTCTCTGCCGTCTCAAATACTCTGGGATTTAATTGACAATAACTGGCGTATCGTAGATGTATTTTCGCTTAGTATTGGTCACTAGTTGACGAGCAAGTGAGTCTTTTATTATCTACTTAATTATTATAGAACCTTGGTTATCGGAATTTCGTTTGATAAAAACTAAGTGTGTTTTCTATTTTTGATATATTAGACTTATCGTTACCTCTGCCCGTTTTTTTACCCTGCGGTCAATTGCCTGAAATAATTGTAAATAAAATTAGAATCATTGAAAGACTTGTAATGTATTAATACGATGCGAAAGTATGTAATTATTAGAAGTTAAAATATTGTCTGAAATGTCAATTTTGATGTCGATAAATACTCCAACTACGTTAGATTAATTTATTAATCGCTTACTTAACTTTGATTTTAATGAGAGTAGAAGTATAGATCGATTAATTTTGATCGTTCTTGTGTCTTCTTGTAATTATATTTTCGGATAATCAAGGTTCTCCTAATATGTATCAGGGTTAAATCAACGTTCATAATTAATGACGTTGATTCTGACTAATCATTATTATCATCGAATAAGGATGAAATCCATGATTTGCGACAAGGTTCGCTTATTTTAATTGCTAACGAACCAGTCATAAATCGGAGATTTTATTGTTCCCACCTTACGTATCTCCGACGTGAGTCGTATTGCTTCGTAAACCAGTGTTTCTAAGTAGTATTCTTATTCCATTTTTCTACGTTAAATTATATCTAAGCTTCTCTTAATTGTAAAGTTGTTAAGAGTCTGCTAAGTAACGTAAATTTCATTTCATTCTTAATGTATCATTATCAACAAACTGATAAACCTACGAATATAAAGTATTACATATCTAACCACGTATAATGCGTAATATCATTAATAAGTAATTATAAAAAGTTTGATTGAAAATTAACTAGTATTCTTTACGAGGGTATGCTACGATAATGGAAACACTGGTGTAGTATATGTACACGTGATGTCAGGAGCTTACAGTTTGTAGGATATGAAGTTTTGTGATTCCAGTTAATTCAAGTTATTAAATAATATGAACTAACTCTTAATTGATATGACTAACTATAAGTTAATTGAATGCAACCTTATCATCTTTTTTATATGANTAAGAAATATTAATATGTTATCGATGTATATTGGACGCTGTACAAAAGTAAATTTGCCCTATAAAAATTTTTGGCTCGTTCTTAAAAAAGAAATAATCCTAAGAAAATAATCTTTCTGTCTAACGAGTTGCTCTAAACGGTTCTATGCAACTTACAGTAGCATTAAAAGAAGAATATACGAAATATGCTTAGCAAAACTTTGTTATCATTTTTTTATTAAAATCGTATATACAAAGTTTGAGTGAAAACTGGTGAGATAGATTAAATTTCCGAGCTCTCAATTAATCCTTCTTTTCCGATATTCATATTCTTTGCTACATGTAAATTTTATCACGATTTTATTCATGTCAAGTTAGTATGATTAATAACTTACGCTTTCCTATAAGTCCTTGCGCATGTTAACTGCAATAACAATATTTCCTGTAGTAAATTCAATCCGATACGCAAAGGAAAATGCGATATAGGCGTAAAGAGTTTAAAACGTTACCTTGCGTTGTAATGGTGCACGGGTTTGCGATAAAGTTCGAACGCGCTTCCTCTTTGCTCTCTGCTTCCTGCGAGATCTAGGCCGCTTGGTTCTCGATTGTGCCCCGGACTCGTCGGGAAACACTGTCCGCTCGTGTTGTGACCGTTGTTCATAACATACCCGTTGTGATTAACGTTGCTTCTGTTATGCGAAAGGCCGAGGCTTAACTGGCTCGCGCTGTTACTGTGACTGTGCGACATTGGCGGGCTACAATGCGCGTGGGTATGGCTCAAACTGTGATTGTGCGCGGGCGTGGAGAGATGGCTCAAGTTGTGGTGGGAGTTGCCCAGATTCGAATCGTGACGATTCGGGGGCGGAATATTGTAATAGTACTGTCCACTGTTTCGTTGGACATTGTTAGTTTCTACCTGAAATATGAGAAAGATCCACGTTTCATACGATCGCAATTACAAGCATGGGGCAAAACTATTCATCAGTTTACTAACGTGAGAAGTAGCAATGGAGTAGCTTTTCGAGTGTTGATGAGTATTATTTCCTTCGTTTCCATTATTCTCTGGTTGAGTCATGTTTGCTTGGGGCGGTCTGTAGTTCTTCGGTTTCGGAGGTGGTATCGGTTTATACGATCCCCCAGGTTTGTTTTGCGGCAACGTTATGGACTTGTAATCGTTTGTCCGGCTATAATACAAAGGTAAAAATGTTCTAGCTTACGGGGATACAATAGGAGCTAGATAAATAATGACGATAAGCATAATTTAGGGATAAGTCTTTGGGAAGGAATTTAATGCGGGATAAATTAAAGGTGGAATTTAAGAACAATGGCTAAACAAAATGTCGAGTAGCAAAAAATAGGATTGGACATTTAGACTAATGTATCTCGACTAGAAATATAAATTCTACAGGCTCTTCTCAAAGGTCGAGGCTTTCGTGCCATCATTCTAAAAGTCAAAAAAGGAGGAGAGATTTAACAGTTCGGATGTTTTTGCATTTAGGGCTTCTTCTGTATAGCAAAATATTCATATCAAGTATACCTGTATTTGGCATAATCGGTTCTCGTTTGTGAATCGTGACCTGGGATCGGTTGAGCAGTCGATCGAGTGAATCTATAAGGATCGTGTGGTCTCGCAGGTCCACCAGAACTTTTCAAATCATCGGGAACGTTGGGACCCAACCGACCAGTCGATGTGTTCAGACCCGGTGTACCATAACTAGCATTTCCATTTGTATTATTATAAGAATCGTAGGAAGACATGCTGTCGTAACTTCCCTACGCACACGTGATAAAATCCGTAATGAAATTAGCATATCCTATTAACTTTGACGAGTAACTGAACAAATATAAAGACTTTACTGCTTTCGGTTGAGTTCTTTCGAGCGACGACGTTGCGTTCGCTTTATGAGGCGTAGCATTAATATAATTTGCGACATCCAATACTGAATCCGTTTTGGTAAGCAACCGTTCTTGCGCGGATCTCCCGATAGTGTTTCGCTGTTGTTGATTACTCGGCTTCGCGTTGCGATCCACCCGCGGAGGTAAATCAGGAGGACTATGATGAGTCGGTCGCGGCTCGAACGAACCGCCTAAGTATTCAGGCGATCCTGATTGATTGCTACCCTGCCCTGATAACGAGAACCCGTATTTTCCATCGCCCATTCCTCCCTGCGATCGTCTCTTCGGTTGTTCGAACGATTGCTAAAACAAGACAAACGAAAATTGTAAATTACACTGAAATTGTTTGATTTTACTTGATGGCATTTACCTGGTACGTGGTCGAATACGGTGGCGGTGCAGCGATGTCGTCCTGCGTCGCGATGCTCGGATCGGAACTGCTTTTTAATCTGGATGGTGCCCCCAAAGCACCTGGCATAGCTGGCGCCGGACTGAGTTCCAAGTCACTCTCCGGAGAGGAAGCATAGGAGAGGCGAGAAGTCATCGGGAATAGGAAGTCATCCGAGAGTGCTTCTTCCGGCTATCATCGCAGGACACAGAGGACGACACGTTACAGAGGTCTTTACTTTATTTAACCCTTTCAGATTCTCTTCTATTTAATTATCAACAAAAATGATGAAATCATTTTTTATTTAAAAAAATGCACAGAATCCGAGAGGGTCAAAATTTTGAACGAAAAACAAATACTTGCCATTCGGTTAAGCTTAATTCTGAAATTCGGTTAAGGTATTTTGAAGATTATAGGAAAAAATTAAAATTAAATGAATTTATTAGGAAATTATAACATTCCCAATTGAATAGTTTTAGTTCGATTTGGGACTATGATTATTTCGATCATTTGGTTTAAGAGGGATTATTTGTCAATCATGATAAAACATTCTGTTAGTTTTCCATCGTGAAATCTAAGATGAATGATGAAAAAAATCCTATACAATACTCATAATAAATTATTTTAATACTGTTTATTATGTATTTTTCATAATATACATATTAAGTAAACTGATGATTAGGTGTTAAAAATCGTGTTAATATAGTCATGTTTATGCATTCCTCGTGATTTCCCCATTCTATTTCTCGTCAAAAGGACATTTCGAAATTTCATTCCGAATACGTCTTCTTTAGAAGTAATAAAGTACTTTGTCCGTTTTGACTAATTTCCAGACACAATATATTAAATAAAATTGTGAAGCTATTTCATTTCAACTTGCGGTATTATAATGATTCACGAGTAAGTCATTACACGTAGCCATGCAAAAATTAAACTGAACATGAAACGTAAGGTGTCTCGAATATCTCAAAGAAATATAAACTGATTTAAGGAATTCTCGGATTGCAATTGAATTTAGATGATATCAAGACACCTAACTAGAGGGAAGGCGGGATTTAAATGTAGCCGAAAAATTGCTCACGGACAACGTCAGAAGCTAGAGACGGATAAGAAGGTAACGAAAACAACTTGTCCGCGTGATATGTATCGTTTTCGTTTACGTCGTGATACACGGCTTCCTTCGAAATCGGGGGTAGAGGAAGGGGAGGTAAATCACGAGGGTCACCGGACGAATGACATGGCTCCCACGTCATTTGTCGACCGTACGATGGCTATAATAAATTATATCACAAAATAACTTCACCAATAAGATATCCTTCCCTTCCGGCAATAGGATTTTCATCATTCGTACATATCTTTCAATATTCGAAATACGGATTCATGGAGCTCGTAATCAGAACAATAAAAATATTTTTACCTTGGTTTGACTCATCCAAAGTAATCCTTGCTGCTGTCGGTCGATCAACTCTCTGAGCTTACGGTACCACGCTTCCGGTGTGGTTAAAGTGATCACAGCGCTGAAGATATGGCCCCAGATTTTATCCAATTTCTGACATTGTTCCAAAAGCTTCTTGCTACTTTTATGCGCCGATCTGAAATTGGAAATTAAGAATTTATAAGAATTTCCGTCAATATGTATTTGTTTAGTAATGGGATTTACGTACTTGGGAATTCCGGCACGCATTTCCTTGATAATCTGCTTAGTCTCAGCTTTCAGAAAGATAACAATGGGATAAAATTGAGCGTAATTCAATCGGTCAACCGCGTTCGGAGTGATGTCTAATAAAGCATGTTTGCCCCGATCCATCACTTCCCTGATGGCACTAAGTCTAATAATACCCGACGACTTCGTATTTTTTCCAACACTGTCATCTAATTGGTTTTCCATTTCTGTAAATAATTTTTTATTAGAAATGATGAGAAGTCTTTAAATTCAACACTGATTTTTATTTGAGATTTTCTGCTTACGTGGAGATGTGAATTTATCAGGGAAGTCTTTTAACAGTTTCTCTCTAGCTAGATCTGCGACGGGACCGAACAATACCACGGGCCTAACGAATCCCGGGTGCCTTAAAATTACTCTCTCGTAGGCCGGAAATTTGCTAACACTATCTGAAAACACTATGTCGTCCCAGTGATCCTAGAAAGCATAAATGATATTTGTCCATTTTATTTCTACCTGAGTGAGTTTACCAAAGAGGAAACTTACTCGGCCAAGAGATTTAGAACGTCTGTGACTGCTTCTTCTTCTCCTAAAGAAGCTACCCCTGCTTTCACTGGCACTCATTTCCTTCTTCGTTGCGTTGAACTGCGCGGTCGCTAGTTCCTCGGCTCGTGCTTTATTCGGAATAATCCCTTTCTGCACTTCCTGATTGTTCCTACCGATACGGAACACTTGCCACGACCCGACGACACCGTTATGCAGCGTGTCTATAACGTGAAAGACATCGCCGCTACGGAAGCTCATTTCACCTTTTTGCGGTTGTTCGTAATGGAAGTGAGTTCTGGAACATCATACCAAGTTTCTATAGCTCAAATACGCGCTAACATAAATTATAAATTAAATCATAATATGACATGTCGCGATATAAATAATGAATTATTTAATTGAAAGTTAAATATTTTACTTACTTTATGTGGAAGGAGTCTCCTTTGCCGGATGCTACCACTTGATCGTATTCTTGTCGTCGATGTTGAACGATCAAGTCAATTTGTTCCTGGAGACTAAGTAAAAAGAGAACTGCTTCTTCTCTTGTTACTCCTTTCATATCCATATCGTTTATCTATAATTATCAATACGTATTATATTTCGAAGTGTTGGTTTGTCGGTAAGCTTCAAAGAAAATTTTACTTTTAATATCTTATCTCCAGGCTGTAAACCTTGAAGAGATGCAGGGCTCCCTGCTTGAACGGCAGTTACGAAAACACCTGTTTCGTTTCCACCGCATAAACGTACGCCCACGGATCCTTCTTTTTGGAAAGTAATAAATCGGGGGTCAGGCCTAAAACAAACATTTCTCCTAGTCTCGTATCTACTGATTGTACCTCCATACTTATGGTACATTCAATTTTCTTATAATCGCATAAAATCCACAGTCTAATGATAATTAAAGTGACCTACATTGGGAGCTTAGTCCTAGACAACTCTTCTTCATACAATTGCCTCCTTGTGCTATAATAATCTGAAAAAGGACTTGTGCATAAAATCTGTAATTTTACGGTGCGTTTTCGTCGATACACGATACTTTTTTTTGTATACCTTCAGGCCTCGGGGGTGGTGGTCTAGGCGGGTCCACAGTCGGGGTCGCAGGAAGGTCTAACTGGCTGAGGGAAACGTCCATCAAAGGACCTCTGGCACGGCCTCTGGGAACAAGATTGCTTTTGTCCTCCATCGGCTGCCTCGTCGGAGGCGGAACATATAAGTTCTGGCTACTGTAACTCGTCGTTCCCGAAAGATATTCTCCGGTTTCACTTTTTGCCTGCTGCTGAACGTGGCAGCAGGAATTGTCTCGCGTTACAACGATCGATAATCTGTCTTTACACTGGTCCATCAATTTTTTGGCTTCCTTCAAACTCATGTTGTCCGTGGCCACGCTACCTATTCGCGTTAAAACGTCCCCCGGCTTTACTCCCGTATTCTCTCGAGTCACTTCTTTCACGTAAAGGCGACAACCGAGAACAATTCCGAAATCTGGGAGCAGAATAGTAACTATTGAGAAGAATTCGAGAAAGTGTGTTCGAAATAACACGAATTTTAATAAAGAAGTGCGCTATTGAATAATTGTAGAAGCAATATGTAAAGATTTTATTCACCATCTTTTTTGTTGTTCCTGGTGAGAGTTAGCCGGTGGCTCTGAAGAGTAGAGTTTCCTACATTTCCAGAAGAATTCGAGGAAGCTCTACGCTTGACGACTAAGAGAACTGTTGACCCGGAATCTCTGAGAACGCGGATCGCTGCCCCATAATCGGCGCCCTCCAGCGATATTCCATTGGCGGATATTATACGATCATTCACTCTAAAAATCATCATACATTTTCACACGCCAGAATTAACAATTTTACGAATAGTACAATTTAATTTAATACTGTTTCCAAAAGTCAACGAACTTTAATTTACAATTTTATTATAAAATATGCGTTCAGTTCTTATTCGGATTAGTTTGATTCGTAAAATTTTCGTATGCTTCCTTACTGCAATTTTCCTTCCGCGGGTCCCGCCTTCAGGACATCAGAAATCGCAATAGCAGGATCGCCGTTAGTAAAATGGGGATTATCCCGGCCACCAGAAACAGCAATCCCGAATCCGTAACCGGGAACTCTGGTAACAGTGACATGATGGACTTCCCATCCTCTGTCTCCGTTCTGAAAGAGCGGAATCATTGTTTCGCGTGTTATCCAGTTCAAGAATTATACGAAGGTCGTAAACGTTTATGGAGCGTCTTATCGTGAAAAAATTTTTAATGAATTTAGTTCCTCACGAGCAGATGGCAAGAATTCGAGAAAACGAGTGTAGAAATAATTGGATGAAAATTCTACGGGTTCACGTTAACAAGATTCTTCTCCTGCTTAACACATATACAAACCGAGCTTAGTCCAGGACCACGTTTCACTTATATTTCGTTAATTTCAATTGTAAATCGTAATTTTTACATGAATTCTTTTGTAAATCCTAGTAACAAGAGACGAAATACCATTCTCGAGGAAATTGTTTGACTCGCACCTGTGTATCGGTCCCGCCGGAAGTATTGTGAAGAATACCGTGTGTCGTCGAAGACGAATTCGGGGAGTTTCCCGAATTTCCGACACCCACATTATTATCGTTCCTATCCATTATCGCGTGCTGGAAAACTTCGTCTCGAGAATCCGACGTTTTCCCTGTTAGTACCTCCGAGGAAGCATCCTGACCACGCATAAGTTCCTTTCTCTTATACAGATACTTTTCCAAATCACACTTGCATGTTTATCTTATTGAAAATCTCTGTTTCACCGGATACCGAGACTATTTCTCGAATACATTTTATATCCGGTATTTATCATTATATTGGGTTTATTCAATTCCCTTTCTCAGCATTTTCTCCCAACCAGGTTTCTATCAATCTAAACTTTCTTCTCGTACAATCTGAATCGTAGCCTGCTGGAAAAATGAAGCCGACGCGCGTTTTCTCGGCGGATTTTTCCGACGCATGGGCGTCACGAGCAGTGGTGTAGGAGCAGTCTTATGCTTCCTTACTGCAATTTTCCTTCCGCGGGTCCCGCCTTCAGGACATCAGAAATCGCAATAGCAGGATCGCCGTTAGTAAAATGGGGATTATCCCGGCCACCAGAAACAGCAATCCCGAATCCGTAACCGGGAACTCTGGTAACAGTGACATGATGGACTTCCCATCCTCTGTCTCCGTTCTGAAAGAGCGGAATCATTGTTTCGCGTGTTATCCAGTTCAAGAATTATACGAAGGTCGTAAACGTTTATGGAGCGTCTTATCGTGAAAAAATTTTTAATGAATTTAGTTCCTCACGAGCAGATGGCAAGAATTCGAGAAAACGAGTGTAGAAATAATTGGATGAAAATTCTACGGGTTCACGTTAACAAGATTCTTCTCCTGCTTAACACATATACAAACCGAGCTTAGTCCAGGACCACGTTTCACTTATATTTCGTTAATTTCAATTGTAAATCGTAATTTTTACATGAATTCTTTTGTAAATCCTAGTAACAAGAGACGAAATACCATTCTCGAGGAAATTGTTTGACTCGCACCTGTGTATCGGTCCCGCCGGAAGTATTGTGAAGAATACCGTGTGTCGTCGAAGACGAATTCGGGGAGTTTCCCGAATTTCCGACACCCACATTATTATCGTTCCTATCCATTATCGCGTGCTGGAAAACTTCGTCTCGAGAATCCGACGTTTTCCCTGTTAGTACCTCCGAGGAAGCATCCTGACCACGCATAAGTTCCTTTCTCTTATACAGATACTTTTCCAAATCACACTTGCATGTTTATCTTATTGAAAATCTCTGTTTCACCGGATACCGAGACTATTTCTCGAATACATTTTATATCCGGTATTTATCATTATATTGGGTTTATTCAATTCCCTTTCTCAGCATTTTCTCCCAACCAGGTTTCTATCAATCTAAACTTTCTTCTCGTACAATCTGAATCGTAGCCTGCTGGAAAAATGAAGCCGACGCGCGTTTTCTCGGCGGATTTTTCCGACGCATGGGCGTCACGAGCAGTGGTGTAGGAGCAGTCAATCCCACGTGCATCCCAGATATATCCGAGGATTTCTTCTTTTTGTTCACGTCTCTCCTTATCCTACGATACTCTATTGTACGTCACGGTAGACCAGAGGATCGCATGACCTCATTCCGATGCTAGAGTTTTCCCAATCGCGATTGCGTTTCGTGCACGATGAGTAAAACACGCGGACGACTCAAAGCAGCGCGTAGTTATGGAATTCCATTTTCCTTTCGAGTGGTCAGACCTTCACTTTCCTCGTCGTTCTAATTCATATTCCACGCGCTCGCCTTTTTCTCTCGTTGATCTTGAATCCGTCTCGATTAATTAAACCAATTCCGACGATTAATCTGTTACGTATTTTGTTTCATTCAGAATTATCGGTCTTCCACGTTTAACAACAGTTGCTATCACTCGGGAAAATCTTCACGCTTAATGTTCGTTTACTGGCGTTTGAAAGTTTCATTTCCTTCATCTGCATAGCACGGCTTGACGTTCCCTTCATAATTTTAATACTAATTTATTAAAGATTTCCGCAGTGGTCGTTAAGACGGTTCAACTGTTCGTGCAATTTTTCAAATAATACGTAAAACAAGGGAATAGATGTTTTGTATCAAAGAATCTCGAACAACGTCTTATTAACGTTCGCAAAAAGGAAGCCCTCGATTTTCAGTAGAAATTCTAGAGTAATAATTTGAAAAATTACATGGGGCCGCGTGAAGACAAGGCTATTTCGAAGGCCACTTGGTGCACAAAGAAAAACAAGCAGCAGGAGATCAAGTGTTTCTATATTATCAGCGGAACTTCCATTTTCCAAACCCGATCTGGATCTACAAGGACAAGTTCGAACCATTAACACGCCCGTACAATACCTGTGGATTCTTGGCGAGCGTGAAGCTTTCAGGGTAAAAGGAAGAGGATCTGTCTGCATTCGAAAAACCAACACTAGCACGTTGTCAGCGGGGAACGAAATTCCAATCATCCGAGTCACCCTCGGCCAATGAAAAGAACGACTGGCTATGAGAAAAAGTTTTCTGAAGGCAGGGAAGCACCGCGACGACTTCCGCATCGTACATTCCACCGGCGATGTTTTATTAACGATATCGCGTTTGCTGTGAGCGCTATCAGATTATTCAAAATATGTATTCGTCTAATAAAATCATTCGTTTCGGTAAATATAATTCCCATTTGTTCACCGTGAAGGATTCACGGTGATAAAAGATCTGTTGTTCAAAATTCTTTAATAAACATCAATTAAAGTAAAAGAAATTAACTGCGCTAAAAAAATATGCATTTTGCAGTTAATTCTTAACTAGGAAAGAGTATTTGTAAGGTAAAAAAGTTTTTGGAGCAAAACGTAAAAACTACGATGTATTAGAGATTCCAAAAAGGGTCTCACGATCGCAGTTAAAGGAAATTCCCATCGGCTGGCGAAAATCCCACGATATGTTTACAGCAGAGGATCGGCGAACCATGTATTATAATTCCTGCGTTCCGAGCAGCACTGGCACCTCAACTTTTAACCATCCACTCGACGATGTTGCATGCCGTTAAGTGCACCGAAAAGCTTCACCACCTCTAAAACACTCGCGTTTCACTACACTTTAGAGTTAGGGGGGCCCGCATTAGTAACCCGAGACCGAGACGCGGAAAAGCACGCACGCGAGAGGAAAAATCGTTGCCAGGTTACGCCGCTGCCTATTGCAGCACGCCTTGACTTAGGAAGTGGAGAAATTCTTGAGGCTCGTAGTATTCGAGCGTGGCTTGGTCGTACGCTGTACGGCAGGTCGACGCAAATCGGATGAGAAACGGGCTTGGCGGCTGCGGGAAACGAGTACGGAGGAGCCTGCTCGAGTGAACGTGTCGCGAACAGTGGGAAATGGTAGGGGCCGCTTCGGACCTGCGCTAGGGGACCGGGGAATGGAAGGAAGAGAGCGCAGCATGCGCGTGCCTGCGCACCGGTTTTCGGCTTCACTAGCGATGGGCCCGATCTTGAGGCACCAGCGCTATGCAAGAGGTCCAGAACCCCTTGTACAGCTGCACAATTTCAAAATATTGTATAAAGTTCTTCAGATCTTCTCAGAATGAAAAGACAAATGATCCCGGATACGATTTATACTTTGAGAGAAGTATTCTTTATGTGATTTTGAAACTCTCGATACATGATGCACAAAGATTGGTTGCATATTGCAATACCTTTTAACTGACTATCATAAATGTTTCGTGTACTTCTGCGTTTAGAGTAAACGATGAAACGCGACAGTAAAACTGATAATAATAATATAATCGTCAATCCGTTTCAGACGCAACACCCGTTACGTGAAAGTCACATCTGGAACCAACGCACGTGCGCGTAAACCACGATGAATGCACGTATTATAAGCGGTCCAGTACGAGATGCTGAAAGTAGGGATCCCTAGCTGAAAGTAGCCAAATTAGCGTATACACAAAGCGAGAAGTGCGCCTACTAATTCCATTCCGTTTTAATTAACTCATTATTTTGTTGACCGAACTTATCCTTTCAGTAGTCAAACCGTGTTATGCAGTAAATGAAATTGTTTAGACAGTTCGCAAGAATCCAATCGCATTTCAGTTTCCACAAAATGTTCGATTTTCACTTCATGATCCTTTCACGGATCATTTAATGAACATGTGTTCGAGGTTTGTCACCTGTACGCATTGCACTTGTTCCGCGTCACGTAAAATCTTGTGTACTACCTGCGAATCCGAGGGAAAATTTAGACTGGGGGATACAAAAGAGTGATACCTGAGCCAGAGCGACACATTCCAGCTGCTCGTGAGGTGTGTCATATTCCAGTTAAACTGACGATTTTCTTTGTGTGCGGTTTTAGCGATGGCTTCGAGTCACCGATAGACAAGGAACAATATTCCTGTCATGCAATTTACAAGGGGGTAGCGTAAACCCTTGCCGGAAACAAGTTACGAAATCCGAAGTAGATCCCATCATTTCAATGTAACGAATGTTAGTACAATATAATGATATACTAATTAGTTCTATCGTTTGTCTGTTAACTATAATACTAATGTTAAACAAATATTTATTTACCTTGACTCTACGTTTGTGCCTCCTCGGTAGATTTCCAGGTAAAAGGAAATCGTCTTGAGGCACGTAAGTCTTCTTTCTTGCAGGAGCCTTTTTCTGTCGCTTCTTCTTTTTCTTCCCATGGTGAAATAATTTGCCAAATATTTTCATTTTATTATTGATCTGCCGACAACAATCTCTGTCAGTAACTGTATATCACAGGAAAGTTAACAATTCATAGACTCATTTAAAACACTGTGAGATCGTCGCGGTTTAAACTAATGTTTCACCTGAGTAATAGAATTTTTAATCGTTTTTCTTCTTGATAGAAAGTTAACAATGACGTCGTAAGACTCTAATAGAATACTTCTTTGTCTGCATCTCTTGAACCTCGTTAGAACTACTCATACTATTTCGAAACACAGAAAAAGCAACTGTTAATTTGTACTTATTAGCATTAGCAAGGCATTTGCGTTTTTCGAAGCGTCGAACACTGCAGTGGTCGGATATTGTTCGAGTGAAACTGTGTAAATTCCAATAAACTGTCCACTAGTAACGTTCAAACTATTTTCAATTATCCAAGAGAAAAACGTGCTTCTATTGTCCTTTTTACTTTGTATTCCGTTGACCACAAAAGCTACACTCTTCACTGTTGCGATGTACCACCAGCAAAGGAGAAACGAAGTCGCGAATGACGTTTGCCATTGGAGAGATAATTTAATATGAAACTTACTTAGCAGGAAAATGGTTCGTATAACACTACTGTGACCACTAATTCACGGAAGTACAACAGAGAATGAACAAGAGGAGATAGTTACGATCCGAAATGTGGGCGGCTTCGTAACTCAGCTTATCACAGCGGGTGTTGCTGATACCAGATGAGCCACTGGAATCAGTGTAATTCGTTCGACGAACGATCGATCTATCGACCGAATGAAGCCCCAGAATCACAGCCTGCCTTCCTATTCAGATTATGCCACGTTTTTCTTCGCTTCCTCCTACCCGCATTTTTTCTTATTAATATTCATCATTAACTAAACCGTTAATTAAAATATACTATGCAGCAGCTAAAAAGAATTTCAATAAAAATACACAAGCCCCCTGAATTTTCAACCATATGGAATAAATATGGAATAATAGTTGGATCGAAATTGTGCATTCCAGAATTCTCAAGTTTACGGTCGTAGTCGAAGAAAATCTGGTTTGAAGAACATGAAAGGGTAATTCGATGAGTTATACAAGGGATTACAGTAACAGCTGCGCGGAACAGTTTTTACGAGATGATGCTGCAATCGGAAGATTACCTTTCGCTTTCAGCAGCAAAAAGTCTACTGAAAATGCAGTGATTTCGCAGGCTTCCATGCTATTTAGAACATTTCTCTATTCATCGAGGAGATAAAAATAAAAATTGTCGAGTATTCAAGGACTCATGATGAAGAATCCGAATGTCTAAAAGCAGGAGTTCGGAAAGACGGATTAGGCATTCGAGATTTATTAAACAACATAACGCTGCTATTTAATGATACAAATCCTAATAATGCTTTCGACCAATAAAAGATACAGTTTAATGACGAAAAGAAATTTTGTGTTTCAGGAACGCTACATAACAGACGATGAATGCCTTGTCTCAATCGTCGTATGTAGTTGGGATTGTAACGTGTCTAAATCGGTTGTACGAAAAGCAACGAGAAGATGATTCGAAAAACGATATTTGCTTACATTTATGAATGCATTCTTAACGTTTACAACTGCAAACACATTCATTGTTAAATATTCGAAGCTCTTAAAAAGTTGTGGAGAACGATAGGATTCCTTCTATCTTTTCCTTGCTTTTCATATCTGTTTTACTTTTTATTGAAAATTAATTTGAATAAATCACGCTGATAATGAAACAATATTTCTGCGTCGATAGTGGAATATTCCCATAGGCGAAACGCAGTATCAATTGGTTCATAATCACGCTAATGTCATCACGCTTTTCGAGAGTGAACGAATCGAACTCAACGGATGGCTATCGTCCGATCCTCCGACTCGCATAAAAATAATTACTTACACGTATCTTGTCTATAGTTATAATTACATGATTATACTTCTCTTCTAAACATTCAGATCTTTACTGCTTCGAATGCAAATACAACTATGTTATGTACGAGGTGTCTCAAAGATATTGAACTCGTTTAATTATTCTTACCGAATGAAAAAATAATTTTCCTCTTAATCAATATGCTAATATTCCGATCTGCTGAAAATAGATTGAATTTCAGTGGTTTTTAAATACGCACAGTGTAAAAATATAAATAGAGTTTTAGAATACGATGAGATCATTTTTAAAATTATAAGCAGTGGAATAAAAAGACTGATTGCCATTTATCATTTTTGTATGTTGACTTTTTTACAACAGTGAGACACCTGATACAATCACAATGATACAACAACTATTTAATTATTGATACCACTTTAATAAATGCTTATTTATTTGTTGTTCTTTTTACGGTACTGCCACTGGAATCACTAATTAAATTTATCCTTAAAACGAGGCAGTATAGTCGGCATGAGAAAAAAGAATAGTCATGCAATTAGTCGCCAAGTTTGTAGAAATTTTTATTTAACACCGCTCTAATAGATGCTTCGTAAAGTATCAAAATAGTAGTTTCGAAAGAACTGAGTATTTGAAAAAAATGCACTAAAAAGGGAATGTAAAAATCACTTTACCGTTGTTAAAAACATATTTGACACACAAGTATTTTCTCTTTAAGTAACTAAGTAATATTAATTTAATATTGGAGCGATACAAATTTTCTATCATAAAAAAAATTTATGCAAATNATCGTTAGAAATAAAGTTTTTATACACAACGATAACAAAAAAAATTTCCTTGCCTTATTTCCTTAAGTAGTTTAGTTGTTCCCCCAATTTCTCAACTGTATTCAAATAATACAAGCAGTATCAGCAGCAAATTTTGAAAAACTTAATATCAATCGTCAACGAAACTCAATGAAAGGAGTTCGATATCGTATTTTTATTTCTCTCTTTTCGAAATAGTTAAAGAAAATCAATTATCATACGAACCGAAAAAGTACACAACGCGTCATGGGTGACGCACCAGTAAGCCTTCGGTATCTTTTTATAAATAGCGTACTCACGATCCGCTGATGCGTTAACGCGCGACGTATTGCGAATAGAGGACCCTGCTATAATACAAGATGGTACATACACGGCGATGATAAAATAGAATCAAGAATAAAGCTATCGTTACAGCGTGAACGCGAATTTATTCATTTCAACTCGTATTCTTTCTTCTCGCACATACACCGGAGCCGCAGTCCCTGCGAGGAATCGAACTCGTATTCGATCGAGCAACGCGTTCTCGAGAACTAGCTACGATTTCAGTGTATGCGTGATGCACGAACGATGAAACACGTCAATTGTGAACGCCTCCATACATCAATAGCTGACACGCTTAGTGGGTATGCAATTCGCGAAATACTCGCCAGTTTACGATCCCGCTTGAACATCTTCGTTAACACGTGAACGTCTTCACGTGCATTTGTTTTCTTATCTGAATTCGAACGAAACTTTTTTTCTTCTCTAGTGTAGTACAAATAAACATGAAATCACTGTGACTGTAGTCTAATACGGTTCTCAAGGGGATCGTCGCCTCTTTCTCTGGATAATAGGTCTTGTCATGTTAAGAGTACATATCGCGATTTCTCTATGAACACGTTATATTTAACACAGTAAAATGTATGTGCATGTAACTACTTACGAATTATTACAGAGCCGCTATTCTTGTCAATTACATATGTATATATGCAATATGTATACACATATACGTGTACATACACACGGTGTTCGGAAAACGGCAATACAAATGAAAAATATAGAATTCCTCGCCTCGGTATAGAAGAGACTCGCCAATAGACTGCGGATGCTCACGCGGACTTGTACTTTTACAAACACAAATTAAACGAATGAAACGTAATAAAGATATGTTCCATTAATAATCGTTCTATTAATTATATATTATAATGTGATTTATTTTTACGTCGGGTATATCATGTAGTTCTGCATATTAAAAGTGCATTCTGTACCTCCTGCGCGTTTAATTTTCTATAAACGTGTACTAATTAGAAATTTCTTCTATAAATATTGTAATGTATGTTTTACGTTGCATACTTGGTATAGATAATTAATTATGTGCATCCTAGATTTCTTGCGTCTGCAAATTTCTCCCGAATATATACACATCCGCAGCCCACTTATTAGAAAAGAGTAACCTTCGTGTCCTTCCCCCTAATTCCGTTTTATACGTATCGTGCTACGCCCCTCGACTACTTCGTCACGATTAAGATGCAAGTGCAGCTGTGCGTTCATGAAACATTAATTGGTCAACGTCCTCGGACACATTCTCTCGAATCTGCGAGAACGTCGATGACAAAGCCGCGTGCGGATCTTAATTTATTAATCGCAACATATTTGAAGAAGAAAACTGAAACTTATTCGATAGAAAAAGTTACTCTTCTACACTTAGTTTGTTTTGTAGTCTTACACTGACGCAAAATCTTACATTTCTCGCTTGTACCGCTCTATTTTCGGCACACCTTAATATATATATATATATATATATATATATGTATTTATATTTATATATAATTTTGGATGGTGAGTGCCCATCTTCCCTTTACTCTGGATACTTTGTTCTTATTCCTCGATCTCAAATGTAACATCCAAGGGCAGTAACCCACTTTTTCGTTTATTTTTTCTTCTTAAATCTTCATCACTTACGCCATTGATTTTTAGATGTAAGACTTATAAGTGGTCAACAATAAGAAGCACAGTTTTAACAAGTAACGTTTTGTCGTCTTGCGCGTACACATCCACACATTCTTTCTATTTCTTTTTTCACACCCATACACGTAAGTACAGACATACAGGCATACGCACACGCGTACATTCCTTTTCTTGTTCGTTTTCTACTTTCCCCCTATCATTCTTAAGTTTGTTTTCCTACCTGTCTTTGTTTCGTCCGAGTGCCGTCTCTCATCTCTCTCTCCCTCTCATTCACTAGTTATCCTACTATTGAAAACTTACTCTATCGACATTGCTCAATGATCGAAGATTTCCTTGTACAGCTTCAGCTATTATTCTCTTGCGTTGTATCTGAAACAACGAAAGAAAGCTGGGTCAGAATGAAAATATCGTTTATTTCATTACAAATATCTTAATCATTTTATGTGGCTGGGGAATTAGTTTCTTCGTATAAAAGCAATTTTACCGATATTGGCATATTACGTTTGACAAGATTAGTAAGCCGGGGCTCGGAAATCTGGCATCCGCTGCTGTTCTTGTTGCTGTTGTTGCTGACCGAAAGGTGGTTCTTGGTAACCTGTATCGGTCGCATCTGGATAGCTTGTATATCCAGTTCCACCGACTGGATCCGCCTCGTAACTCGGCGCGAATGCCGCATCGGTTCCTTGCTTGAATCTTTGGAAGGCGAACCAGGCACAGGCAGCCTGTTAGGAATATAAACAGAGGCGATATCAAACGAGGCAAGAATAACATCGAGTAATCTCTGTAAAATAAAGGTGCTGTCGATGTACCCAGGTGAAAATGGAGAAGAAGGAGAAAGCGATAGCGCTTTGGACATTGTTCACTCCATAGTCTTGCGGCGGTGATGACTTGTTCCAAGCGTTTGTTAAATAACAGAACCCAACGAAATAGAGGAACGCCCAGAAGCCGGAGAGTCTAAAATAAAACACGATTTAATCATCGCGATGCGTCCCGATGATTCAACTACGAACAATAAGATGTTTTAACGAAAGCTGTGTAAGTACCCTAAATCGAGGAGAACAAAATGCTTCCTAGTCTTAACGGAGGACATCTGCTCGAAAAGATACTCTCCAGCAAGGAAGCCAATGCTGGCGAGAAAGGCCAACACTCCGATTCCTACCCCATAATTACAAGCATTATGGTCTTCGTTGTAAGCGCACACCTCTTTTCCGTCCTTTGTTATATACCCCTTGTTGCTTATACATCCAAACACGATTATCGCGAAGAGCTGCAAAGTGAAACGGTTTCATTCATTCAATAATCTATCAACAATGTATATTAACGTCTCGTTTCAATGGTACAATTTTGGTGCTTTATGAAAGCCGATCGGATTAGGCTCGTGCATAAAATGTACTTTGTAGATAATGTTCAACGCAAAGGTAAACAAGCGATGAGATAAAAGTTGATGATATATCACGCGACGTGCAAAATTGTTCGTAAAGTTAGTCGCAGCTTCTATTTTCCGTAAATTTTTTCGGTATGTCTATTTATAAAGAATCATGTCCAGTTTTGGCTTGATCCAGATCTACCTTGACATGAAAACGGATTGGATAAAGCTCGTAACGAAAGGAACAATTGGAGGTAAAGAAGTGTCGTATAATTAAGAGACGAAGTAATTAAAAAGAAACATTTCATCCATGTGATTGTGTAGTAAATTGAGTACAAAAATATAAAAAAGCAAAGTGAAAAAAGTTATCAATTAAAAGGGGTGGACTAAAATATCAATATTAAAACATTCCAAGCGTGTAACGTAAATTATTAGAAATTCCACAACGACGCAAGTACGAATTCTTCAAGTAAATTGAACTATTCTCAAAGTATATTAAAACTTGTATATGAAAATTAATTTCTTGTCATTATGGAACAACAGAATTTTAGAAATTCTCTTAATAGGGGGATTATTGATTATCAAATTGTTCTATGAGAATATACACCAAATTATATTCCTAATGCTACGAGAATAATTAAATTGTATGCAGGTATACAATGATTTCTGCTTCTTTTGAATATTAAAATTGCATAATTATTACTCTCAAACGTCAGTTGACAGAGGTTCCCTCTTCTCGAACGATTTTCTACCCTCTGTGTCGTAATGAAAGCTTCGTTATAGAATTGTATACACCTCTCATCAACTCCTCGAGATCTATTCAAAAACTAGAAACTAGTTTTTCAAACCTGTTCCATCTAAATAACATGAAAAATCTTCACGATCTAACAAGAGTTCTTTTAACGGTAATAAAAGGTAAGAGAACTCGCGATTAAAAGAACATTTAAATGACTGTTTGACGTTTCGCTTTAACTCCTGGAAAGTTGAGATAAAACATGCTCGAAGGATCATTAGAAGATTACACGGGACCCTTTGATTATGGGGTGTATCGCAGGAATTCGCGAAAAATCAATAGAACCCCATCGTGTCAAACTGGTGGGGGTGGTTCACCCTTTAAAATCAATGCTCGTCGAGCAAAATCGACGTGTATCTTCGATTCGGGGAAACGTCAACGAAAAAATGCGAACGTCGACGAATATTCGAGGGAAGCACTTACCAGGCATAAAGCTCTTAAGATGACCTGAGGCCTTTGGACGAAGGCAATGGGGTCGAAAGGGGCTCCTGCCTTTCCTCCACCGTACGCTCCACCGTCCATCTTATTGCGACTGAGCTGAAATTTGAAAGCTCGAAGCGAATGGAAGCGCGCTTGCGCCGCAAGAAAACACTCTTTCCTATCCCCACCGTCTAAATTTTTGGGTGGATCCTGTACAAGCATAGATACAAAGATACTAGATATTCATATACTGAATATTCTTGTATCCATGTTTCGACACTCGACACTTGATATTACAATTTAGCAGGAGCCAAATTCGAACTCCAAATACAATTCTGCACGACTACACACTACTGCATATTATCACCTACAGATGTTATATCATCTACCTTAGTACGTTAAAGCCTAAAACTTCATTTCGTCTACACTATTATCCAGGAAGACTCCTTGTAGTCTTTTCTTCTTGTAACTTTAAGTCGATACAAACAAACAGAAAGACTTATTAAAAGGATGAGCAATGCCAAACTTTACGTGAGAGAGCACGTGGATTATTCTGAACAATAGTCCACGAATGTGTAATTGGGGCTTAAGAGTCTAACATAACTATAAATAGTTGTATAGAAATAGTAACTCATCGTCACTTCAGCTAAAAAAAGAATTGAATTAATGTAGAAATGCACATATAATTTAATGTATTTCAACCTTTGTACCAATGATATGGTCGTATGGAAAAAATCCAAAGTCATAAAAAGCGAAACAAACAATTTAATCATAAATGATAAATGATTTTCTGTCTGTTTTTGTATGTACCTGTGGCCGAAAGCCAGGATATGACGTCGGAGTCAGCTGGTAAACATGAAGTTGGCTGTGACCATCTGCAATTATCTGTCAAGACGCCATTGTTATTGTGAAAATTTGTTGTGGCTGTGCTCCAGACAAGTGCAGACAAGCTGCAATTCGTCTCCAGGACAACTCCGTTTAGAGTCAGCTACAGGGCACTTCGCCTTTTCCCACATACAGTTCATAACTTTTTGTGGCATAAAAAGAGAATCAGACGTCTATACACTATCATATAAGCACAGCAAAAACAAAAGATCGTAATGGGTCTTATTTGCTCCACAGCACAGGTAGAGAGACGAATTTCAATTTTCTATTTACAAACGTACATCCATATAGTTCGCGAAGGCATTAATCCATTTATTGCTCGAATGCATTTAATACAATCGTCTTCTTGTCCATTCCTTAACTTTGCAAATTCATGGAAAGCTTAATGAATCACCGAAATTTAATTATCATGACTTAGATATGCACGATATCGATCTTTTATATTCCATTAAAAATATGTAGTATTTCGTTCAAATTCATTCTGTTCGATACTAAAAAGGAATTACTGTTTTTGAAATTAACTTACATTCATAAAGAGATATATGAAAATCATGACATCTCATTAAAAATACTGTTACATAACTCATTGATTTGATCATTTTAATTTGTAGCTTGCTTGCCTGTGTGGGTCACAAGCTTGTAGCTTGTGTTGTTCCCAATGTCCATCATGTCGCAACAGTACAAGTACACGTATTATGTATGCATTATTATTAATGCTGGGCACAATTGCTGCCTGTATAACATTGGCTCCTGGCTTAGAGGATGCACTTAAAAAGGTAACATTTTTAAACGCAAAGGGAGATGAATTTATTTATCATATATTGGATTACCTTCATAGGTCCCATTTTGTGCGAACAGCACAAATTATGTGCCATCAAAATACACAGTTGATTGTGAATCTGCTGTTGGTTACTTAGCAGTGTATAGAATCTGTTTCATTATAGCTCTTTACTTTTTCCTAATGTCTATGATAATGATAAGAGTAAGAAGTTCTAAAGATCCTCGGGCACCTATACAGAATGGGTATGATATAAAAAATAATGTATCGCATATATCATTGAAGATCTTTTTTAACTTGTGTCTTTGTTATAAATTTAGATTCTGGGCTATTAAATACTTGTTAATAATCGGTGGAATTATCGGTGCTTTCTTTATACCTGAAAGATCATTCGGGCCAACATGGATGTATTTCGGCATGATAGGAGGTCTTCTGTTTATTATCATCCAATTAATTCTTATTGTTGACTTTGCTCATTCATGGGCAGACGCTTGGGTGCAGAATTATGAAGAAACTGAATCTAAAGGATGGTATGGACGATATTATTTCATCTATTTTATAATGGAACAAATCTGTAACATAATAAATTTATAGGTATGCTGCTCTCTTGGGAGCGACGGTATCGAGTTATGCTATTGCTGTCACTGGAATTGTTCTGCTCTTCATGTACTTCACACATGTAAGTTTTCATCCACTTTTTTTACTGGCATTCGTTCAATGTTTTTCTATACTGTCGTTTCTTGTTATAGCCGGACAGTTGCGATTTGAACAAATTCTTCATATCTTTCAATCTTATCTTATGTGTAATTGCCAGTATTATATCGATTCTTCCAAGTGTACAAGAATATCAGCCACGTTCTGGTCTTCTTCAGTCATCCGTTGTTTCACTGTATGTCATTTACCTGACTTGGAGTGGAATTTCAAACAGTCCAGGTATTATATTATGCGTACGAACACGTTAGATTAGTATTTATTTGCTTACGAATTTTCTTGTATTATTTATAGATCATAAATGCAATCCTGGATTGGGAGAAATTATTTCTGGCAAAAATGATGCGTCCCCTACTTTTGATAAAGAAAGCATCATTGGTTTAGTTATCTGGTTTAGCTGTGTTCTGTACAGCTCTCTACGTACGGTATCCAAGTCATCGAAGATTACAATGTCTGAAAATATTTTAATTAAGGACAACGGTGCTGGTACGTAGAAATGAGATGAGTGTTTTAGGACAATACATGTTTCTTACTAATTAACTGAATTAATTATCCATGATTACAGTAATTATGTTAAATAGATCTTTTCATAATTATACTTTTTTATAGTCAGGAATACAGGAGATCAAAGTCTTATCCACAATGAAGGTAGGCACACACTGTTAAGTACTTAGATTCAGTGTTGTTATTCACCTTTTTTCCACCAGTTAACGTATTACGTGCGCTTACAGTAACTTATGATTTTATAGATTTATAGAAAAATTGGATTAGTTCTTGATATTGGTTTCTCCATCTTAAAGGATTTATATTTTAGTTAGAGTGTGCCTGCTTTCATTATAGCTTTTGTATTGTTATCTCGGTTCCTGTTATAATTTATAATGCTATTTGTTACTGAAGGTTCTTTTCTACCTACGTGCAATATCGTTTGCGAGTCTTTCTGTGTTAATCTTAATAGGCACACTTAGGACATTCGTAACTGCACGGTAGACAATTATTTTCTTTTGAGTTATTCCTCGTTTTCGTAATTGTAACCAGATTATACTCCGGTAGAAGGTCGCAATCCTGATTCAGAGAGCGGGAACGAGGCTAAAGTCTGGGACAACGAAGAGGATTCAGTGGCTTATAACTGGAGCTTCTTCCATCTTATGTTTGCTCTCGCCACTTTATACGTTATGATGACACTTACTAATTGGTATCAGTAAGTATTTAAATCATCCATCTTAAACGTTATCAAAAACATTACGTATTAACGACGCATTGTTTTTTTAACAGGCCAAACTCGAATTTGGTTACCTTGAATGCTAATACCGCTTCAATGTGGGTAAAAATTATATCCTCTTGGATGTGCTTAGGGTTATACGTATGGTCACTGGTAGCACCAGCCATATTTCCGGACAGAGATTTCTCTTAAATGTAAAGCCTTCCTGTCGGAAGTGATAGTTAGTAGGTATATCAAAATTTATGATACCAAATATTGAAACATCCTTCACACTATTATAATTTATGATCTTCCATATTAATGTTATACTGTACAATAGAAAGTAGAAACCCATGTTTCTGAAATAACCCAGAATATGCTTAAAAATCACTGTACGTTTTGCTGACATTAACTTTTATTATATTTATATTTGTG